GGGCTTAGATGCAAGTAAGATGCCAAGTTGCCCAAATAAGGGCAGTTCTGGGCATGACTGAAGTAAAAGTGTAGGTACTGAGGGAATGTTTGAGAGGGAGGTGCCTTCTCAGTTTAGACATGTTCCCGTTTGGGTGGCAGCTGGGCAGGGATTACAATTTTGGATGTAAATGCCTGACTCCCAGTCCTTTGGTAGGTGTGTACATCTTTTATTAAGAGCTAGTCCCTGTAGGTCTTGATCAAGATAGCTAGTAATTGCCTTGGCTGCAGTGGTAAATAGATTGAAAGCTTTAATCCTGACAGACATTGTGCAAATCAAGACCCATTTTCTCAGCTATTCAGTATCAAATTCCCTGATAAATACTGAGGGGGACCATGAACACTGGTCCATGTCAACACTTTTCTGAACCATTCTGCCAGTTCTAGCACATTATTAGCTGTTCATACATCTTATAGAAATATCAGACTGTGAGAACTAGTCTTATCAATGGGACTTAAATATGTACTCCTTGAGACTTATGTATGATCATAGAATCATGGAATCATCTAGGTTGGAAAAGGTCTTTAAGATCACATCCATTAAACTATGCCTATGAGGGCCTCATCTACAAGGTTTTTGAACACTTCCAGGAACAGCGATTCCCACTACCCTGGGAAGCCTGTTCCAATGCCTCATCACCCTCCTGCTGAAGAAATTTTTCCTAGTATCCAGTCTAAACCTCCCATGGCGCAGTTTGAGGCTGTTATCTCTTGTCTTACTGCTTGTTATTTGGGAGATCAGCCACCTCCTCTCTCCATCCTCCATTCAGGTAGTTGTAGAGAGCAACAAAGACCCCCTGAGTCTTCTCTTCAAACTAAACAACCCCAGTTCCCCAGCCGTGATGGGGTTTTCATCAACAACCTTTGCTGTCTAAGCATTTCGTGGCCAGCAGAGCTTATAGTTGTAGCACTGTGATAGCTCTGACCTGCAAAGTAAAAAGCAAGGTGAGGCAGGTACATGGGGTGAAAAAGCAGTGCTTATCAAATTGAGGCAGCTGGCAAAACCAGAAATGCTTTCCTGAAAGTTTGAAATTAAAGTGTGAGTCTACACCTTTTTGCATTCAAGTGTATGAAGCAGTATCTGATTCAGTGCCTTGTGGAGAGGTCCTTCTTTCACCCACTTGTGGTTGGAGGGGGGAGCCAGACAACAAAAAACGAACACCTAACACAGGTGACACTCATCCCTGGCCTCAAGTTGTGAGAGAAGTGTGCAGAACAGCACCTGCCCCACTACTTACATGAAGTTCTAGTTGCTTCCATAGGCCTAGCCTATTTCTGCACCAAATAGAACTTTTTGTGTAGAAGAGGTAAGGAGCCAAGTCAAGCCAAACATTTTGCGTTGATCAGTGAAGCATGTCTTTGCTGGAGGATGATTCAGAGCGGGAACCTATCTTAGCTCCTCTGAATTGCTTCTACAGAAGACATTTTGTTGCAATAAGCTTAGGAAAATTAGTGTCACCAGGATAAAATTAGCCTTTATTAATTCTCCCTTTGGTTGTAAACACTTGCATGAAGAAAGCACCTCATTTTCTAATGCATAACTGCCGGTTCAGTATATTCTTTGGATGCCTTCAGCTCTAATTTTCATGAGCACAGTGCAATAACAAACTACACTGGTAGAACGTCTGGTGTTTGACCTTGTTCCATTTGCATTTCTATTTTCTTAAAAAGAAACAAAACATGTATTTTTCCATATATTTATAAAAGAGAGTTAATACAGCTTAACAGCAGCAGTTTTATCTCTGCAGGTGGGGGAACAATCACACCCTGTGAAAATATGGACTTGAACATTGGGTTCCACTGAAAATGAGTGTGTGGTCTGAGGTCCCAGAGTTGCAGGGAAGTTCTGAACTTTCCAGTGTATGCGTAAATGAGCTTTTTGGATAGGTGGGAAAAAGCTCCTCATTTACCAATATTTCAAAGTTTCTATTAAAATTTTGTTCCAATGTATATAATGAACAAGTAGGGAAAGATAAGACACAAATATAGAAGTTCTATAGTCAGATTAGAATGGTTTTATGAAATAGCTCTCACAAGAAATCTGATTAAATTTCTTTGTGAATTGACAGAAAAAAGTCCATAAACACAAATTCGGGGTTAGTTCTGTTTGTTAGTTGTGTTCTTCATGAAAAACAGGGTGCTGAAATATTTTGCATGACAGACCTGAATCTTCAGCTCATGATGATAAACCTCAGGTCGTCAGCAACAAGAGGCAGGCTTTTATCCTCATTAACTCTACCATGATGATGGAAAGTCTACCCTTGTTGAGAGCCAAAACATTTTCCTCATTCCACAGAGAAGAAGATGTATCAAAGTAGATGACCTGAATCAGGTGTGGATTTTTCTATATTTGTTGCAGACAAAGAGACAAAGTTTCTGTATCCCCTTCTTGGCTAAATCCTCATGTGCAAGTTGCTGTTAAGGGATCAGCTGGGATGATTTGTCCACATAGCAAACGTACTGCAGAGAACTCCAGGAACCTACGCTACATTGAAGATTACAGTTCAGTGCCAGTGCCCATTCAGTCCCTGTTGTCCAACAATGCTGTAAGCTATTGACAGTATCAGCTGTGGCAGAGCTTTGGGTTGTCTGTCGGAACAGTCAAATCCATAAAATCCAGAGCATACTGGCCAGCCAAGGCTGCCCGAGGCAGATTCACATTGAAGCACTGGAGAGTCTGTATATATTCATGCTTTCTTTAACTCCTTTCATGGATGAAGTAAGTGTATTTGCCAAGCATGTTATATTTTACTATAAGCCTAACAGTAACTCTTACAGTAAGAGCACTTAGAATTACCACTTATCCAGAGAAAGATACTGCTATAAATCATGTAAGAAAATAACAGGTTTAATTACTTAATTACAAGCTTGCCTGAGTCTTGTAACAGCTAGAGAAATGGTGAAAAGAACTAATTAATGACATGCCTAAATCACAATAAGACCAAGATTTGTCTGTGGTATAGCCAGATTTCAGTAAGTTGCTTTAAGAATGCATATATCCAGGAGTTCATGACCTAAACCGATACATTTTTCTCTAGGGAATGGCCTCATTCTCAAAGTTTGGATCCAGACTTGAGTTCCTGCAAACTTTTTATAGGGCTCCTTTTAGACACAGGAACTAGTACTGATTGATTTATTTTCCTTTTTTTTTTTTTTTTTTTTTTTATTTTAATGAATTTACCAAAGGGATATTGTTTTCCATGCAAAATATCTTTGTAAAAATTCTTGGACTTTGTAAAAGAAAATAACTCTCAAAAGAGTTCAAGCCTAGCCTGACCAATTTTTATTTTCAAAAGAGATATTTCCATCTTTAACATAAGAAAGGTATCTTGCAGAACACATCTGAATGACAAGCTAACTTCTTGTAGAATAAAAAAATTACAGACAAGTTTCCATGGGCAGTAAGATCCAGTTTTCAAAAGCCATATGAATCCCTCTCTAAATGACACAAATGGCAAAAATATTTTTAACATATGTTAAAGATGTTAACGTATGTTAACAGATGTTCCTAGTGTACAAAGAATATACAGGGTCAGCTAGCTTCTGTAGGCTAGTAAGCAAGAAAAAGGAAAGTTCTGCAGCTCACCTGTAAAGGAAGCTTGTGCCCATAAAAAGAATTAAACTTTTTTTTAAATGTAGCCAAAATCCTGCAGAGACACCTGTTTTAGAGAAAGCAACCGTTCTGTATGGGTTTAATAACACAGAGTTACATCATTTTCTACTATAATTATGTTAAATGTAGTTGATAACAATGGAACGGTATTGATGCTCATCCTTTACCCTTTCCCATATTTTGGAAGAACCGCATAGTATTCCATGCTGTTCACTATTTATCTAAACAGCTTTTTAAAAAGCTGAGAAATATGAAAAATGATGAAGTTTTAAATGGGAAAAAGCTGACATTTTATTATTTTATTATATAGTTTTTTATATGAAATCTGTGACATCATTTTAGGAAATAACATTCTGAATCATATAAACATTTTACAATTGCAACTTACCATCTGTATTTAAAGAAAACAGCAGCATAAGCCCATCAGAAGGCTAATGTAATTTTCATGTACCTCTGCATACATTCTGTTATTCTGGTTTACAAAGTCATATTAAGCGCAGAAGGAAGAAGGGCTTTTTTTAGCGGTTAGGTTTTGAAGTAGTAAATAAGTAACATGTGGAATCAAGTCAATAGGTGAGGCGAATTAGACAAGGATATCAATTACACTCGCTTTCTACAAGAGCTTGCTACTTAGTTAAAGTGCTAGCATAGTGTGTTTAATTTTAAATATCACAATGTTCACACAGATAATACACAGAAATAGGCAGGATTGCATTTACTACACCCCTTTTTTAATAAAAAAACATTTCTCATAAACAGATATTTCCAACTTTTTTGCAAGGTCTCGTATGAAAACACTTATTATCTTTGCTTTTACACACAATCATATATAATAATTACACTAGAATTGCAAGGCAGCACTTAAAAATCTACATAATTTAGAAACAGAAATTTTAGTTATCTAAAGTAATTTTTTGCAGTGTCTCACTCCTGCTTCCTAATAAGTTGGTTAGAATTAAAATACTATAGAAATAGTGCTTCAAAGAAAACTATCAAGTGCCATTTACAAAGGTACAAAATATACAGCAAAGTTAACTTCTCATAAAATAAATATACAGATTAGCTGATGCCCCAGATCATTAGCTAACACCTTATTTTAAGGGATGAACTTCTAGGGAGCTTTTCCCTCTGGTATAGGAGAATTATACAACAGTTCCTCTTCCTGTATGTTTATGCAATGAGTCACATTCATTTTAACTGCTGACAACAAAGGACTGGGTTTATCATTCTGCATAGTGAGTAGTGGAACTGCACTAAAGTCAGTGTGAACCCTTAGAGATCACTTTTGCCTAAGTTACCACAGCCTACTCATTGAAATTTTTATAGTAATAATGCAAATCATTACCTTCACAAGAATTCTCCTGTCATCTAGCAACTAACGTACCATTAAAATAAAGTGTTGCCAACATACTCCATGATTGCTCTGTTGTTAAAATAGTGAGTTACGAAAACTGCCTACTTATTCTTAAACTGATCTCCCTGATAATAAATGAGTTTTAGGAAAAATAGCATGTTCCCGCTTAAACCAGCCATTATAATTTATCAGTTTGGAATGAATGGTAAGTGCTTGTATATTAGGTTAGCAAAGAGGTATAAAACCAGCTACAATTACAGCACTGTTGCACCCCTGATGTTTACTCTTGGTCCAGGCGTATATTAACCATGGCAAAGCATCGGCCTATGCTCTGAAAGAATGGTACGATGAAAACATCTGTCAGGCTCTTCCATATGGTTTGCATTGAAGGCAAGAGCATGAGACACGTTTTCACGAAAGGCACCACAATCCTGTAAAAGAGAAAATGGAAGATTTAATGATTGTTTCTGTTACAGCATGGGGAAAACAGAATAAGAAAGCACAAGTATAAGAATTTACAGAAGAAGTGATTTTCTAACTCTAAATCTCTAAACAGGTCAGTTTTACACACTTGCACTCATTCTCCATCAATTTGGCTTACTCACAGCCTTACACCTGCACATGCAGAAGCACTGTGATGCATGTGGTCCTCTAGCCAGGATCACTTATGTGCAACCCAAGGGACAGGAGATGCCAGCTTTCTTGTCATCATGTCTCTGCTTCCTAATTGGCAATTGTCCTAGTTTGTGGACATGACTGTTACTTAGGTGAACTTTTGCTATCCTCTCCCTGATGCTGGAAGGGCTGGTGTATGTGATATGTGACAACCTTGCTGCCACCCTGCTGTGTCTGAAGAGCAGAGTCATCCCCTAGGGATTCATTTGCCCTGTGGTTGGATCTAAATGTGGGTCTTTGGGCTTGACAGAAACACCATGTTCTCTCCAGTTTGATTGACTGGGAACAGTGCTCTTTACAATCTGTTCTTGCTCTGCTCTCTCTTCTGTTGTTTCTTGTATTCACCTCTTTCACCCACCCAAATGCATAGGCACATCACCATTCCCATCTCATTCCTACAGCCTAACTTGGCTGTTACAACATGCTACAATAAAACAGGAACAGTAAAGCAATATCTGGTTACACTGGACTGCTGTAGTACAGAGATATGCCAAACCTCAGAAAAATGGAATCCTTAAGGATCCTATAAAGATTTTCATTTGTGGGTAAGAAACTAACCTAGAGTGAGGTCAGAACTCCTGGCCAGGGAAAGATCTTTTTATTTGCTCAGTGTGCATACTTGAAAGTATTGTGCCTTCATCTCCTGAGCACTGGTAAGCATCTGGGGATGCTCTCCATATGTCCCAATTCCAAAGTAAAGTCATCAGTGGTAGCTTAAGTCAGGCATGCTAACAACAGAGGCAAGGCACAAGTGCATACAGGGGCAGCTCAGAAAGGCCAGTGAATACATGGTAACTTATGGATACATGGTAACTTATGACACTATTTTAAGTTACTCTCCTTTCTTGATCATTTACTGGCCAAAACCCTGCGTCATTTTACTAAGCTGGATGTTCTTACTTAGGTGCAGATAAATTAAATGCATAAATAACTTATGTAATACTGGAGTGGTACTAGAGCAAGGTTAAAAAAAAACCAAACAAACTGTGACATATATAACACATTTATTTCCTAAATTAGGTAGAAAAACCTATAGATTCTCTTGATAAAGAATAAACTCTGTTCTAGTTTGCTGTTGCATTCCAAATTTAAGATTCAAGTCTTGCATCCACATAAGCCCATTGCAGAACTCTCACTGACTTTGGTTGGATGACAGGAAATATTTAATTTACTATTTCATCATAGGCATGGAAAAAATATACAGGTATTGTGTATTTCCAATGAGTGCTGCTCAGAATAACAAAGTAAAAACCCAACAAACAAACAATAAAACCAAAGCCAAACTGGCACATTTTTAAAAAGTTGGAGCTTAGAAATGTAAAAGTTAAAATATTTATTTTCAGTGTTTATTTAACCAGATTCTCAGCTTTTATCATACAATGCAAGCCATACACTAGTGTGTCTATGTTGCACTCTAAACTAACCCAGATGGATTCAAACAAGAATAGTTTTTCTAAAACCTTCTGTTCTTTTGTCTCTGCTGAAACAGCTAGTAAAAGACACACTGTATAGAACTGTGAGTGCTGCTGGAATAATGTCTCTAGTTTTAAACTGACCCCTGTAAATTATGCACTTTACGACATACCTATAGTATCACTGCATATAGAATAGATAATTTCTAGAGAAAAAAAGTAGGGCTTCAGCTGTTAGAATAAAAAAAGATATTTCTCTAAGCAACACAGGGAAAACACCAGAAATGACTACTCAGCTTGTGTTGACTTCATCCCTTTTCCATTTTGGTTAGTTTATAAAGGCTATGTCACTGCTCCTTTCCTGCCATCTAAAATAAATTTGGCTTTCTTTTTTTTTTTTTAAATCTAACTGATTTGGAGAGGAGCAGAAAAGCTGACATTTCTAGCGGACCTTGTGTTGACAGGATCACACGAAATACAAACTAAACAAATACCACAGTGTGCAGAAGTTTCATAGAAGGATGCAGTGAATCACCAGGATGCCATTAGGAAGGGCTGGAAAAGCAGTGATCATACCACCCGCAACTGCTGTAGAGATCATTCAGACAGTACCAGAACTCAGTATCTTTTGATAATGTTAAATACAGTAAATATTAAATGTTTTGGTAATGTTTTATAAACATTGAGAATTTTATGGTAAATGCATGTGAAAAACAATGTAGACTAGCTCGGTAGGAGGATATGTGAGACATGCTAGCAAACAAAGCTAATTAATGTAAACAACTTTCAACTTTAAAATAAAAGTCAGTCTAACTAAATAACAATTACTCAAACACCTTTCCCCAGAGAAGGAAACCCTTTACACATAGAGAGCAGTAAAAGGTATTTTCTAACTTTTAAAACATGTGAGTGTGGCTATATAGGTATCTACGTAAGTATGTATCCTGTCCGTTCTGCATTTCCAAATCATCGGTGTGATATGCCTTCTGTGGAATGACCCAGCACACTTAGAAACATAAATAACCAAGGACCACTAAAAGCTATGTATTGTTTTAGTGACCTGTCAAGTAAACATTAACATACATTCTTTACTCACAATGCTGTGAGTTTACCCCAAACTACACTTGTATTCACAGAGATAGTAACAGCTTGCTTAAGTGATGTCTAACAGTGGAAGTTGGCATATCCCAAGGATATCAACACTGACTTCAATGTTGACACTAGTAATGTCACCACATAATGCAGCATTGGGAAGAAAATCAAAGCTCTGTTGAATATGACATCTAAGCTGAAGCACAGACAAGATATTTCAACTACCTATACAACTTCTCATTGAATCTTGCTGTGTAAAAATATCATAAAATACCCATTCTTTCACGGAGTAGAAGGAATCCCTTCTTTTGGGAACTGTTGAACTGAAAAATGCAAATTACCCCAGTTTTTCCATCTATCCTGCATCTGAGCGCTGGGAATGGAAGCTCAAGCCAACAGGAGCTCTGAGCACCTGCTGCTCCAGCTGATGACAAGAGCATATTGCTGCTCGACTCCTTGTGCTTTAGACCCCATCTCAGATCCAAGACTCGAGTTAAGGATCCACAAATGAGCCATTCTTAGCACACACATGCAACATACCAGAAGACTATGCAGACAGGACTACAAAAAAGCATATATGATATTCAAGCATTAATTTCCAAGAGGTGGCAAACATGTGGCTTGGAACATCAAGGAGAAGTCCGTGATCTATAATAAATATAATGAGTTTGAATGTGTTGCCTGGAAAACCACTAGTATTCTGCTCATGATCAAAAATCAGTAACAGCCTCAATCTAAGGAAATCTTTAAAATCTTGCTAATATTCACAGAAAGATGTTAAAACTCAGTGTGACAAATTCTGCCATTTATAGGCTGTGGTGAGAATGACAGTCATCAGTAAAGGAGAAGAAATGTGGAGAAGTACCCTTCCTTGAACAGGCTTGTATATGGGTCACCAACTTGCTAGCTGGCACAGTTTCATATCTTTTATCAGCTAGTACAATGCTGGATTCTGTCTCAAGCAGACAGTTTGAGAACAGGAAAAGGATATGCTTCATCTTTATAGATAAAAATGTAAGTTAAAGTGAATCCTTACATATTTCTCATTCAGCTTTCTTTCTGCTTTCCATGAAGTCTCACACATTTGCTTCCTTCTTCAGCAACCTTTTTGCTGGTGAAAGGCAACATTTACTATCAGGTCTGAGAGGGGCAATTCATGAGGTGCCCTTGACGCATGAGGAATGGATTTTTAGCATCCTGACAAAACCGCAATGACATGTGTGACAATCAAGAGGGCTTTGTGCCTGAGCAGTTCCAAAAGTTGCTGCAACACGTTTGAATTTAGCCTCAGGAAGAGCTCCCCTAGGATAGATAACATCATCATCTCATTGGTTTGGATGCTGAAAATGAGGCACAGTGACTCTGATGAGACCTCCTACAGGCAGCCATGTGGGAGGGTGTGCCTGGGGTTTTCCCATGACATTTCAACAGCTGAAGACAAGAGTTACAATAGAAATCCCTTTCTCTCACCCACAAAACAAGGAGCTACTATTTTTTTCAGACCCAATGGGGCTACATGGGAGCCAGTACCATGTGTTTTGGGTCTCTACACCTGCACTGCTCATAGGCTACCCTCTCAAATGCAGAAACTTTGAACTCCTTACACCAAGAAGTCTGGAACATGGAAAGCTGCAGAGAAGATGACTTAGTCTCAGTGTTTGCCACCTTTGTGTTGGAATAAATCCAATTTGTGGTTGTGGGAAAATGAGGCAGTGCTGGCTCTGGATGGTAGCACTGGATGAGCTCCAAGGGGGGGCAGGTAATGCTAACAATTTATGTGATGCTTTCACACCCATCCCAGGCATAAGGAAGATCAAAAATGAAAGATCTGTAGTGACAGTGAACATAGAGAAAGCAAATTAGTTGCTGGGGAAGCAAGTGTGTTCACAGAAAGTCAAAGGAAACTTTTCAAGTGAAGTGCCACATGTGGACAGTCCTATTTCAGATATACTGAGAACCCACAGCTCTTGAGAGAGTCACTAGGGACAACTTGCATAAATAGAAACTGACCCCAGAGTCCTGGCTCAGTGAAACTCATGTCCACACATCCACGCTGTAAAATCCAGATAGCAGATCATACTGAAGCACAAAAACTTATTACAGTCTTAATAAATCTGGCATTTATTAATTCTTCCATAGATATCTCACTACTGGAAGTCGATATGGTCATCGTACCTTTTTGCAGTCACACAGTACTCACAGCGCAGTGACAGCTCCAGACTTGAAAGTCTAGGCACTCTATACAGTGTTCATAATTTAGGGACCAGAGAAGTAGCATGTAAGCAGCTCTAAACTTCATTGCAACTCTTCAGGGTGAGATGCCAACTCAATGTTCCTAAATTTGAGTTAATTGGGTTTTGAAGTGGCTCACAGCAATGTCATCAACCCAAACTTCCATTCCACTTTTGAAAACAGAAATCTGCACCTTCAAGATTGCAACCAAGGGCTCAGATAACCAATGTATTCCTACTGCCTTGAGATCTTTTTTTCCTAGCTTCTGGATTGTATTTTGTTTTCCTTAAAAACTTCTTGATGATTCCAGTGTCACCCAAGTCAAATGAGACTTTGCCCAAAACCCATGTATATGGAAAATCCTGGGTTGCAGGAATGATGCTGATAATCTGCATTCATCCCTTCCTCTGCAGCCTGCTGGATTTGCAGTTTTTTCCTCAACATTATTATTTTCCCTGCCTTTCTTCCTTTTCCATGATCATCTGCCTTTCTTGTCTCCAGGTATTCCCTAATATTTTGCCAGTATATTCTGTTTCAAACATATCAGGCTTTCTGTGACTTGGAGTACCAGTATATTTGCCTATGAACCTGGGCCATGGCCAGAAGCAGCTTTCCTGTGCTCAGCAGGGCTTTGCTTATGTGGAAGTGCTTTGGGGCACTGCACCTAGAGATGGCCATGTACCAGATGCAAGGCAGTGACAGTAGATTTTGTGGCAGTAGCAAAGAAAGAGTGAGTTGGGCTCTCAAAAGCTTACTTTAGTCTGTGAGGAAAAAAATGGAAGAGGTAACCATTCTGAGAAGGTGGCAGTAATGCTTCTGCCCAAGTCTTTCATTTCAAATAAACACGTTTTAACAACTTCTGTACTCCAGTTTCAAAAGAACAAGCAATCGTTATTATTAGTCCAGAAGCCAGCTGAGGCTGGAATGCATTGTGTAGATGCCATTCAAAGGATAAAGAAGGCCCTCTGCTCCAAGGAGCTACCACAGACATGACAGACCAAAAGTACAGAAGGGAATGAATCACAGTGAAAACACTGTTTTCATTTCTCTGCCTTTAAAACCAAAGCAGACAACGTAAGCAGATCTGACTACCGGCTGTAAAGGCGGTGATCAACAGCTAGCAGTAATGCTGCTGGGCTGTCTGCAGAGCCCACGCACCACAAGCAACAGAACGCACTTACCAGATGTGCAGGCAGCTGAGCGCAGCAAAGACGACCCCCAGAACCAGGGCCAGGGGTATGGCAAGGACCAGGGTCAGGAGCTTGTAGATCACGTACTTGCTGAGCTCGAAGAGAGCGTGGCTGCAGATCCAGACTTTGTCGAAGGAGTGCGTTAGCTCTGGCTCCGCGATCACGTCCTCGAAGCCCAGCTGGAACGACAGCAGCCAGGCCGTTACGCGGAGATGGGGCTAGGGGAGACTGGGGGCACTCCGCCCGCCACCCCGTCCCGTCCCGTCGCGGCCCGTCCCGCCCCGCCGCCCCGGACCGGGTCCCCGCGGCCGCGCACCTGGAGGTGGGCGTTCATCCCATGGGGGTCGCGGTCCAGCTCGTCCTCCGCGCCCTTCTCCGCCTCCGACAGCGCGGGGCCTCCGCTCCGCGGGAAGTTGTCGTCGTCCATGAAGATGCGGGTGTCCACCTTCTCCGTCTCCAGCCCCATGGCGCTGCCCGCCGCTCCGCGGCTCCCGGCCCGGCCCTGCCCTGCCCTGCCCCGGCCGTTGCCGCGGCGCCCGCCGCTCCGCCGGGCTGGGGCGGAGCGGGGCTGCCCGGGACACGCCCCACGGGACGGGCCGTACCGAGGCCGGGAGCAAGAGGGAGAGGATGCCTAGGAGCGGGAAGTGAGGAGATCTCCCCCCGCAGCCCCGGCCGGCAGCACAGCGGCCCCTCTGCTCGGTGCCCGCTCTATGGATCGGGACCTCCGGCCGTTGGGAGCCTCCAGGCGTGCTCGGCTTTCCCGTTCATCCCAGATCCCCGGCCAGCAGGCCCTGCGCTGCCCTCGCCGCGGCCTCACGCATCGCTGAAATTTGTAGCAGCAAGCGTTTGTGGCATTGCGACAATAGGCAGATGGGGAAAAAAGCAGAGGCGAATGTACATTAGGCCTTACGGGGTCATGTCTGCTGCCTTCTCTGCAGTTGTAAGGGATAAACGAAAAGAAAGGGGGAGGAAAGGTGTGCTGCCGCTGTCCATCAAAGTTACCACATCCAGCCCCACCAGCCTGTCACACTCCAACATTACTTGTACCATGCTCCCTCCCTAAGCTGCTTAATCACTGCTGTGATAAAACATTGCACTCGTTATTGCAAGGTATTGTCGTGCCCTCCTTGGGTTTTAGCTTCAAATTATTTCCTCTTTTTTTTTTTTTTTTAATTTAAGAACGTGTCTTAAGCCTAAGAATGATCTCTATAAAAGTGAACAAGTTGCTGTAATGACTGCTGAAAGTATTTGATAATATTGATATACACCATGAGCTCAGGAGCTGTCAGGAGTAAATTCGTGCCGCATTTAATGCCATGATCACCTGTCACTCAGAGGAGTGGTATTACTAATCAATGATCCATTGTTAAAGGAAGCTACTACTGGTAACTTTCTCCCATTTTCATCACTGCATTAAATTTAGGATAGCTTTAAATTTTGAGAAGCTCACAGGAAAGTGATCTAAATATAACTACGCAAGGTTTGCATAGGAAATCACCTAATACAATGCTCTGGACCGCACTGCATTGTTCTTGACCGGATAACTTCTGCAGAAAAGCTTTTCATCTCTGTGTAACTCGTGTTGATGCCTTTTTCTCCCATGCTGATGAGTTTAGTGGTACTGGTGTCACGTAAATGGTTTGGATCCAGCACTGTAGCTGTGGCTCATTAAATATAAAAGTCTGCAAATACAAGTTTACAATAGGATCAAATGCAAGCAAAGAAACAGCTTGATGAGTCAAGGCATACTTACGAGCTGCATTTCTGCTCTCCCTTCCACCTTCCCCCCCACCAATTCCTCTTTGTCCCATGAGTGGGAGGAATAAAAAGGCTAATTGACAGACCTGCGGTCCAGACTCAGCTTTCAGGGTGCTTCTGTTCAGCAACTCTTGTTTTTCAGTCTATCCATATGGGATTGAGTGAAGCCTAAAGGCAATCGGACAACTTCTGGTAGTTACTTGAGTCAGGCACAGAAATTTGGGTTAGGTTCTGCTGAAAAGCAAGGTAGGAACAACCAGCAGAGAATCCCAAACTAGCCCCTTGGCTACTGAACTCTGACCATGCTGGTTTATACCAACTGCTTTCTACCTTCCCCCTCACTAGAGGCATGGATCAGGGTGCATGTGTACAACCAGGGAGCTGCTTTTGAAAAGCTCTTTCCCAACACTGGAGCCTTATAATCTGGCTGGGCAGGGTGCTGGGACATCCAGTCTAGGTCATGTTTTGCTCAGAAAGATTGGACCACGTGATCTTTGAGGTCCCTTCCAACCTGGTATTCTATGATTTCCTAACCACTGCTGCTGCATCTTCATCTACCATCTACCATCTAGACAGCTGGATCAGCAAGTCACAGCTCCACTTGCTCAGCTGCAGCTTTGCTAGAAGCTAATGGGTGGCTCTTTTTGCAAGATCACCCAAATCACTGGCTGCCACTGGAGAGTGGCCTGACAGTGTCAGAAACAGCACTTTATTGTTCATGTCCATCTGTCTTTTGAAATCCGCTATTTCAATAGCTGATAAATGTCAATGCCTATCAAGGCAGCACCATGGAAAATTAAGTTTTCCTTTGTAATCTCTGAGGATTTGAAATAAAGTGGTGCTGCAATTGGTCCTGAAAAAATAATATTTTTCATGAAAACCCTGATTCAAAGCAGTAAAAGCTCAAGGCTGTGTATGACTTGGGATGTTATTTATTAAGAACCCCCCCAAATATTCTGTTTTCAATAATTCTGGTAGTTATTTTGGAAATTATTTATGTATGAATTATTAAATGAGGTTGATGGCAAAGCCTGAGCGGTGTCAAGCTCTTATCCCTTAATTTTCTGACAACTCTACAGAAAGCAAGTGGGCATATACAGTATTCAGTAAGTGGGATTTTTCCAGTTTCCCTCCCCAAGACTGCCAGGCTCACCTTTCTGCCAGCATGGCTGGACAGAACAGTTTGTAGGACAAAAGTGAGAGTAGAGAGCAATTATCACAAATAGCAAGGGAATCTTCTCCAATCTTATATCATGTTCTGTAACATCCATTTGAGACACTGGAACAGGTTGCCCAGAGAATCTGTTGCTGCTCCAATCCTGGCAGTGTTCAAGGCCAGGTTGGATGGGGCTTTGAGCAACCTGGTCTATTGGAAGGTGTCCCTGCCCACGGCATAGGGGTTGGAACTGAATGATCTTTAAGGTCCTTTCCAGTGCAAACCATTCTAGGATTCTGTACTTCAAATGTTACTTTCTTTTCGAGATCAGTATTGAAAATCTTAATGAATTCAGAGAATTTTATTTTATCCTTATATCTCTGTGCCATATCTGGGGAATTTTTGTTCCTACCATTTCACAGGTAGACTATAGGGTACCAGAAGATCAGGTGGACTTTAAGTATTTGTGTACATTAGGAGTGAGGTGTAAAAATGGTGGCTGCAGACTTTACCTGGGCATGCAGAGGAGGGTGGAAGTAAGAGGCAGCTGTGCAGCTGAGATCTCAAGAAGTGAACCAGGCAGTGTTAGTGGAGAGATTACAACACCTTTTCCCAGTTTTCCTCCTGATAAATGTGTGTAAGTCCATATGAAAGAAGCAGATGTAATGAACTGAGTTTAGGGATATGCAAGATGAGTTAAAATGAAGTAAAAGTTTCACCTCGACATGATGAAGAACTTCTTTACATTGAGGGTGGCAGAAAACCGAAACAGGCAGCCCAGGGGGTTGTGAAGTCTCCCTCTCTGACAACATTCAAAACCCACCAGGATGTGTTCCTGTGTAACCTGCTCTAGGTGGCCCTGCCTTGGAAGGGGGTTTGGATTAGATGAACTCCAGAGGTCCTTTCCAACCCTAATGATTCTGTGAAAACCTGAAAGATCTTGCAGATTAAAGATATGGTTTAGAATTCTGATTTTTCTTGTTTTCACAGTGGGCAGGTCAAATATTCACATTTGACACATATAGAAAGGTATAAAGTGCAAACTCCAACATGTTTTCACACTCCTGTTTTCACACTCCAACATGTTCTTCTTATGTAGCCATATCCGTACAAGAAAAAAGATTACTTGTTTGAAGAGTGCGGATAAGAAAACCTGATGGGAGGCTTTTGGAAAAAGTGGGTGCATCATATCATATGTGTCCTACTTTGTCACCACTGATGCAGTGACTCTTGTTCTATGCAGCAGGACGATTAGATCCTGTCTCTGTGTATGGAAACTTCCTTGCTCTCAGTTGCTTTTCTTGTAATTGTTTTTCTGCCCTGTGGAGTGTAAAATTCACAGTTTTCAGTGATCAGTCAATGTAAATAAATGTAAGCCGTAGCTGAACATTTATATTTATTTTGCCCAGTTGTATCCAACACTGCTGAACTTAAGCCAAAAGCTTCTACGAAGACTGGCTTTGTATGTGTCAGGGTGAAGGCTGCTTTGAGAGTCAGAGTAGAGATAACATGATAAATGTGACTAGATGATCTTAAGGTGCTTTCCAACCCTAACTATTCTATGATTCTATGATTCTGTCAAAAACTGGTTGCAAAAATAGTCTGTATCTCTTTTAGCCAAGCCAGGTTAGTGGTGATAGAGATATTCATAATAGCTTTCAGCATAGTCTCTGATTTCTAAAGTGAGAAAGGAGGTAAGAAAGTCCTCCCATGAGGTCTTCTGAGTTACTGTTTTGATGAATTACCAGTTAGTGCTCAAATGGTCTCCAGTGAGGGAGTGAGAGAATTTGCTGTTTAATACTAGCAATGGGAATACAATTCCTTGTGAGCAGATGGAAAGCATGGGGAATTGCAAAGGGGCTGGGCTCAGACATTTTTAGATACTTTTTTTTTTTCTGTTCTCTCATCAGTAGAAGTCTGAAAATGTCCTCAGTGTGTTTTCATAATTCATTCTTGTCTGGTTTCATTTTTTTTTCAGTTTTTGTTTCTCAATGCAGTTTATGGGATGTATCAACAGAGCTTTTATTAATATGTCAGCGTATGTTAGAGGGTAAAACTCACAATGACTCAGTCGAACTTGGATTTGAATGCTGAAGTAATGATCGAGTGAAAAAGGTCCCAGGGTAGGATGTGGGGGCACATGTGATATGTACTTCAATGTTTACAGCAGTACAGGGACTGTTATAATCAATGCTTTCTATGATGTTAAGAGGTTGTTAAAGATTATAAAGAACTGTAATGGGGCTTGAGAAAGTATATAAGACAGGTTCCTGCTAAGTAGGCCAGCTGCACATTGGGAAAGGTTGGGAAAGGAATTTAGGGTACAGAGAGCTGCTCAGCACCGGATGGCAACTCAGGAGCCTGTTTGTGCTCTGGGCCTGCCAGAGCTGCGGAGAGAGGAAAATCATCTGCTTTGATCTTGGAGCACAATGGTCAATCAGCCAGCTGCTACTGTTGAGCTGACTGGTTGTAGCTTGTTAAAATGTGGTAACCCAAGTGTTTATGACTTAAACAGGGGAAGTTTGGGTGAGATATTAGGAAGTTCTTCACCGTGAGGGTGGTGAGGCACTGGAGTAGGTTGCCCAAAGTGATAAATGCTCTATCCCTGGCAGTGTTC